CTGGCATAGCAGCCCAACAGATACTCCAAATAGTTCAATCACATGAGGTTTAAATCCCAGGAAGCCTGAGATTGGTTAAAGGTTGCCCTTTAATGTATTCACTTTGCTATTTGCTTTGAATTCCCAATCTTCTCTGTTCTGTGACTGAAGATGCTGCACTATGGTTTCCAGAGCATCACCAATACTCTTTTACCTCAGCTGGTCACTCACTCTTCAGGGGGATAATTAAATCATCTCCACAGCCATGTATGTCAACTGCCTGACTGAAAACTCACCATGACATTCTCAAACAAACCCTTCAATCCAAAAACCTTGAACCAATTTTGCTCCTTTTGAGGGATTCCTCAAAACATCAAACAACTACAGCATTGTTGATTAATACTTTGGTCAAGTTTAAAGCCCAGACCCAACTAGACAAGTATTCAAGGAGCAGGGACAAATGGGAGCCATGACCATCAACATATTTGGCCTGCATTTGATACATCCAAGCTAACCACAATGTAAGAATGGGATTACAATTTTCACCACTGTATAAAACTAGTAATAAGCCCCATCACCATTAAATGGGCAACAGTGCTGTGCCAAAACATAGAATACAACCACTGATCCTCAATGATATACCACAGCAGCAACTGACAAATGCCAAACCTTTCTCAAAACCCATGCCTGAATTACTATTGTATGCACAACTGTGCTCCCAACGGGTTCAAACTTTATAAGCTGCTGTAAGATGAGAAATGCCAGCTTTTGCCAATTGGCAGACATCCTATAGTCCTAAGCTTAACTGTTTTTCCTACATTAAAGATCCCTTCCTGTTTTTCAGCAGCCTGCAAGTCACAATCTGTGCAACGGCACAGTTAATCCTGTTTCCAATCATTTCACTTGGACAGTGTGACTCACTCAACTGCATCACACACTCCTGGAACCTGACTATAAATACTTTATGCACTTTATGCATCTACATCTCCCCAAAATTTTGAGGAAAGGCAATGCAACAGGGCTGAATTTAGTTTTGGCAATTGGGGCATGTGAGGAATTGAATAAAAAGGCAAAAAGGATAATTTGTTTCCATGTAATAAGTGCTTAATGTAATAATTCACCTGATTCCAGGCAAAACTAAACAATCTCTTTGTCTATTTAAATAAATCCTCTACAAAATGTGAACCCAGAACTGAAGGGAGATGATTGTTTTTGCATTTCAATGGACATAATAAATAGGAGCTTGCTCCACCATTTAATAAGGTCATGACTGATCTGATTGTAGCCTTAACTCCATTTTCCTGTCTTTCCCCCTTAACCCTGGTTCACGTTTATCAAAAATCTGTCCAACCTGGCCACGAATACGTTTAACGATCCAGCCTCCATTGCTCTCTATAGAAGAGAATTCCAAGATGCGCTAAGAGAAGAAATTCTTCCACATCTGCATCTTAAAATGGAAGACTCGTCATCTTTAAACTTTAGCTCCAAGGTCTAGATTCCCAATGAGGGGGAACATCCTCTCAGCATCTACCTGCCTCAAGCCCTGTCACAGTCTTCAGTTTTAATAAGATCTTCGATGCACATCAACCCAACCTGCTCAACCTTTCCCTCATAACAAGACAACCTGCATTCCAGGAATCAGCCTAGAGGACCTTCTCAAAAATGCTTCCACTGCAATTACATCCTTTCTTAAGTAAGGAGACAGAATTGGTACACACACACATCCTACAATGTGGTTGATTAGCTCAACTGGCTGGATGGGCTTGTTTACAATGCAGAACAAAACCAATAATGTGGGTTCAATTCCTGCACCAGCTGAGATTACCACAGAGGACTGTCCTTCCCAATCTCTCCCCTTGCCTGAGGCGTGGTGACCCTCAGGTTAAACCACCACCAGTTATCTCTCTAATGAGAGACTAGCCCAGTAGGACTATAGCTACTTTATTTTATCTTAAAAAGGAATGATGTGGTATGCTTTTGCTGTAAACATCTGGGACATTGAAATTTCTTCCCTGTGCATGGCTGTTGTGTATGAAATTAACCTAAATGGTAGCATGGGCGGACTGGAGGTCTCTTTTACACTGCACTTAGCATTCATTCTGTCGAGTTGAATTGGGAAGAGTGTGGGTTTTGACTGCTCCCAACACACTTTTGCCTGTTAGCGCCTCTTAACAAGACGGAACTGATTTTACATCTTACTGCCAGGAGATGCCAGCTCTACAAGTGCTAATACTTGAAAGGCAGCTCAGTTCTTTAAAGCTGAAATATTTTTGATTTTGATAAGATAAATTTAAATTTGATTAAATTTTTTTTATTCAGGATGTTTTCTTGAATTGGATTTTTTTTAAAATCAGGAATTTTAATTTTCCTCCCTTTGATGCAATATTGGCTGTGCCTTCCAGATCGTCCTGCTGTAAAATTGGTTTGGGGACCTGTATTATATGTAACAGTGATTAATCTATAAGGTAAGAATGAATATCATAATCATTTCCAACATAAAGGAATAGCTGTCAATAAATTTTCCATGAACCTCTTTCAAAATTAGTGGACAGTACGGTTTTGGCAGGACTCAACTCTATCACGATTAAATGTAACCTAGTCAGTTTACTAGACTTATAAACTATTGTTCAATTTCGCTCAACACTCACTTAATACTACACAGTATTAAGCTACACAAGTTATCAAGTCACTTTTTAAAGATTTGTTTACATATATTTATATAGACAAAAACACTCAAAAAAGGTACACAGAATTCCAGACTTCAACCCTTTCAGGATCTCCAACCATTGCTAAACAAATCTAAAACTACCTCAGTCCTGTCTAAATAGTTAACTTCACAAAAAATACATAATGTAAGTTAATTAGAAAGAACAATTCACTGAACTAATATCAATCAATGGCATACTCCCTCCATCCTTTCCAAATAATCTGAACATCTATTATCATTAGGTTTATTTAGAACTTGGAAAATGAAGGCAATTATTTGGCACCTGAATATCTCACAGTTATCAACCCTTCACAGTCTAAAATATAACTGAGGTCCTGCTTATTTGTGTTATTCCCGTCTAACATTATGTTGCCATCTGGTAGCATCCATGGGAAAAGAAACAGAGTTAATGTTTCAAGTCTGATATGACTCTGCTTCAGAACAGTTCTGAAGATTTACATCGGACTCAAAACATTAATTCTGTTGCTCGCTCCACGAATGCTGCTACACCTGCAGAGTTTCTCCAGGATTTTCTGTTTTTACTTCAGATTTCCAACATCTGCAGTACTTTGCTTTTTCGTACCTTGCAGGTGATGCCCAATGCTACACAATGCAAGATAGTGCACATAGTGGAGAACAGGAAGATACCAACAGTGACAAACAACAGTGTAACTTAACACAGAGATAGTAAGAACTGCTGATGCTGGAGTCAGTATAACTTAAGTTATTGCTAGGCTTCATCCTCGTCAAAAATTCCAAAGATAGACTTGTCATAATTGGTACCTCGTCGCCCACAATTGGGATCAAGTGCTTACTTTTTTTGTGTCGATTTGATATTTGACAGTCCAATATTTGCCCTGGCTTAACAACTTAACTGAATTGTTTTTGTTTTAAAAATAGCTACACATTGAGCTTTAGCTCTTTTTAACTTTTCTTTTGACTTCCTTAACTATTTCTGTCAACAATAACGTATAATCCACTTCCAATGTGAGTCTTGAACATTAATCCCTGCCAAGATGATTTTAAGATGTTGTGTTTCATTATAAATGAACACTAGGCAGTCAGAATCGACTGCAATGTCATCAGTGGCAGATGGCATAATTACAGATGTCATTCTGTTAAACAGAGAGAATGGAGATTTTATAACAGTATTTACTGTCTCTCTAGTTTATGCCTGGATAATTAGTGATAATTGCAGTCCTGTGCTAACATTAAAAACTGGCTGGAAACTGTTGATCAGAGAATGGACAAGGTCAGGAGACTGTGAAAAATTGCTAACATGTGATGATACCATGTTCACTCAATGGGCTGCTCTCATCCGGGTCACTAAAGCTAATGGAACTGTCCTCTTCCAGTTCCTCCTCTAACTGCAGGCTCCCTAACGAGAAGGTTTTCCTAGGCAATGGTGAGGAGTTTACAGCAATGGGATTCTCCAAAACCAGCAGCTGGCTGAGTGACTGAACTGCCTCTGAGTCAGAGTCGCTGGATTCTGTCCCACTGCTGGTGGACCCATCCATCACCTGACTCACCGCTGCGTGGTCTGAGAGGCCAGCTGGGAATAGACTCTGAATTGGCGGACTTGGCCTTGTTAACACGGCAGGGAAAAGGCTATTGGCCACAGATCTACCCTCTGAATGTAGCACTTTAGGTGAGCAGAGTCTGCGCTGCATACCTGTCCTGTATTCGTTCAGTGGAGTAGAGGCCATATGGCTGAGGATAAATGGATCAGTCTCTGACCTGTTTCGGTTGCTGTAAACCCTCAGTCTATGTGTTGGGCTTAAAACTGTGGAATAGCTATTATAATCATGGTGGCTGTGTGTATGGCTGTCTGTATTTTCTGGTCTATACCTACAGTGGCCATTCTGTACAATTGAGCCCTTGGATCCTGCTTTGTTAACACTGACATTGGGACTGGACCCTTTAGGGGACAGACTGATTGGAGAAGCTGAAGGACTACAGCTTTCTGATCCACGAAATACCTCATGAAGCAAGGAGCTGTGTCTGGGCATTGGAGGCGTCCTCTTATTGCAGAAGGACAACTGGGCCAGTTCCTCATCCATCAACTCTTCCCTTATATGGAGCGGAGAATCCTCAAATCGGAAATCAGGAGAGCCCCTATATCTACGGCGAGCCACACCTTCATCCATTTCCCCAAAGTATTCGCTGCTGCTAAGCTCATCCTCATAATTGTCATTTGTTTTTGACCGCGACCTGTTGATCCACCCTCTGATCAAGTCATGCTCACTATCTATATCACTGCAGTCAATGTAAGGAATGGAAGAGCTGCTTCCATGAGCAGCTCGAGATGCTGGACCTGCATTCTGTTGTTCCCGTTGGGTCTTCGGCTGGTGAACATTGTCCCTCATGGTGTCCTCCTGTATGTCTCTCCTCGGGCTGCCCGATGGTGATGCACTCTTCTGCTCAACCCTGTCTTTATCTGTTGTCTGGGAGACTCCCAGATCCTTCCTTGGGCTAGGAGACGGTGCTCCAGTCGATGCTGACCGCTCCCCAAAAGAAAGACTACCGCTCTGAAAAGATAAGAGACATCTTGGAAACAAGTAATCAGTAAAAATACTTCAGCTAAACTTTTACTCTCAAAACCGTCAGCGATTTCTTTCGTCTAGTTTTGAAAGAACACAAGACAAAGGCAGTCAGTCTGATCAATATACTATTCAATACGATCACGGCTGATCTTCAGCTTCAAACCCACTTTCCTGCCCACTCTCCACATCCCATCATTCCCTGTAAACCAAGATCTCTCCACCCCCAGCCTTGAATATATTCAACAAGGGAATATCCACCGTCCTCTGTGGTAACAGAGTTTCAAAGATTCATCAGCCCCTGAAGAAATAATTCCACGTCTCAGTCAGAAATGATTGGTTCCTAATCCTGAGAAGTGATGAACACTTGCTAAGGGATGTAAAGTACATTTCAGTACCTCATTCTTCCTCAAGGGAGATCCTTGTTGTTTATGGATTGCTTAATCATGGGTTATGGCACAATGTCACTGTGGGACATGGCTAGCTAGCAAGGGTCTGAAAACCACCATGGCCACAAAATGGATGGAACGCATTCTGCTGTTGTTATTCAACAGTACATTGTTGTGGTTATCTAGCCAATGAGTGAAGCAACAGCCCTTCACAGCTCACCAACCACTCCTCCACCCCCCAGCCCACTCCAGTACCTCACTTAAACAGTCATTACTCACAAACAGGTTCTGACATTGAAACTGTTCGCCCAACATCAACACTTGTGCCTTCCAAAAGGATGATGGCAGTAATGACCAGGGTCTCTCAGATGTAAGTGCAATGCTTTAACTTTGGCCAAGGTCAGCGAACTCAACACACAGACCAGGGATGAAAAGTTCCTTGCTCTGTCTGCTCTGTTCATTTTTCACTTGGCTTCTGCCCATTAGGAAATAAGCAACAGAAATGAACTAACAGAAGGAATTAGTCTTAATGTTTTTTGCAAAGTGTGTTGGCTTTTATAACTCTGCAATGTCAGCGATACACAATGATCATCAGTCTACCCAAAGACAGCTAGTATGGATTTTGAGTTCAATTCAGAAACTTTCCGTCTCGGTAGCAGATCAATTCACAATATTTAATTAATCGTATCTCCCCGCTCTTCCTCCATTATCTTCCATCGGTTCTCTAAAACAGACACTTTGCAGCCCTAGCATCCTACTTCACCCTGAAGTAAGCTATTAAACATGTAGCAATGTTATCACAACATCAGCTTTCACCTTCATAACACCGCCTGTCTCCACCCCTACCTTGGCTCATCTGATACTGAAACACTCAATGCTACCTGCGTTACCTCCAGGCGTGACAATCCCGATGCTCTGCTGTCTACTCTCTCTCAGTGCACCACTGCAACTTTCACCTTGGCCCAAACTCTGCTGCCTGTGTCCTATTTTGTACCAAGTCCTAGTTCCTCCCTGTGCAACTTGACCTACGTGAGGTCCCAGTTTGGCAATGCCCCAATTTTAAAATGCTCAACCTTGTTTTCAAATCTTTCTTTGGCAACGTCTTTTCTATACCTGTAGCCTCATCCCTCCTTAATCACTTCCCTCCAATTCTGACACCTGGCACAGCTCCACTGTTGGAAGACGTGCCTTAAACAGCCTTGGGTCGAAGTTCTAGAATTCCACCCCAAAACTCCTCGACCTCTTTCACCAATTTTAGATGCTGTTTCAAATATATTTCTTTCACCAATCCTAATACCTTTGTACGTGGCTCAGTCTCAAATTTGGTCTGATAACACTCCTGTGAAGTGCCTTGGGATTTTTTTTATGGCATTAAAGACACCATACAAATGCAAACAATTGTTGACCTCAACCTGGCACTCCCACCGCAAGGGGCGATTGGCTGGTGATGGGAACTTGGCTGCTCTTGTAACTCTCACTCTCCCTATTAATGAAGCTGGAGGTCAACTACCTTAACATTGGACAGGGATTGAAGTGGAAACTTGATGTGTGACCCACTTCTATATAAATTAGTGTATTGAATAAATAAAACTCGGAGTCAAATTTCCAGGGGGAAAAAAAAAATGAATGATTTGGTATAGGCACAGAATATTAAATCCAGCACCCTCAGGACTGAAACTGTTCTATATTTTGGACGTGTAGAGATTATGGATGGTGTCGCTCTGGCTGTGGGCAGTTCAAGTCAAGCCAGAGGCAGTGAGGTCAAGGGTGCCTTTGAGTATGAGATAGAGCGGTAAAGCGAAGCATCAGAGCAAGCAAGTAGTGTGGAACCACCCTGCGCCTATGTAGCACCTAGCACAATTGTCCAGGTAAGTTTTTTTTTTACTCAATTAAAATTGTTGTGTGGAAAAAGTTTTAAATGTCCAATTTTTGGATACTGCCCATTTTTGGGATGGCAAAATTTATGGTACTCTTCCTATATTTTCAAAAAACTGAAGTTTGATATTTTCAAATATTGTACACAAGAGTTTTTTTGACAAGAACCACTTGTGATTTATAACTGCTTGCATGAACAAGCAAAGCTCAAAAGTTACAGGCAAACAACATTGAATGAAGCCATTTGTCCCTTCCTGCCTGCTCTTTGAAAAGGCTTTCGAATTAGTCTCACTCTCTTTTCCCCATAGCTCTGTAATTTCTTCCATTTCAAGTATTTATCCAACGCCCTTTGAGAGTTACGAGTGAAGCTGTTTCCAACTTGACTTTGCGGGCAGCACATTTCCAATCGTTAATGTCTCTTGGGCTCTTGTGCCAATCATCTTAAATCTATGGCCTCTGGCTACTAACTCTTCTGCCAATGGAAACATATTTCTCCTTATTTTACATTCTTCTTTTCAAGGGATAATTTAAAAAGCAGATTGCCAGCTGTCTGCTAGATTGTTCCACGTCTTGTGTCAGGATTGACCATCCCATAATCACAGCACATTCCTCCCATTATGTCACGAGCATTTGAGTGGATCAATGGAAATTCCTTTCAAATAAACAGTCCTCCACTGAAATAGAAATCTCTTCTAGAAAATACTTGATTTACTGACTTGTTTTGGCACCAGTGACGGATGTTCAGGCAAACTTTGGATGGATCGCATTTTACTATGTTTCCTGAAAATGAAATAAAGGGTAAGATGAGTATGCAGCAGTATTAGTGACAACGATTAATCTGAATAAGTAACTCATTTCCACACACACACCCCGGAAATAAGTATTAGTGACAGGCGAAAATTTTAATGAGTAAAGCCGAGTGCAGAAATCACCACTCCCTACGACATGATTCTGGTTTGAGACAATCATGTGTGTCCATGCGCTGCTGACACTCCCACAGTTGAGCAGTGGAGCAAGACACAGATAAAGAACAACAATAAACAGACCAGAGGAGAAAGGAACACAGGTTAAAAGAGAAAAATGAGAGGATGAGTGAGAGAGAAGAGCAGGAAAAGAAACAAAAATGGATACAATTCTTGCAGCACAATTGACCTCATTCTCTCAGTGTTTTAATGAGCATCAAGGTCATAAGAAATAGGGGATACAGCTGGCCATTCAATCATTCGAGCCTTTTTCAATATTCGATAATATCATGGCTGATCTTCTGCCTCAACTCCATTTGCCCTCGATCCCCATATCCCATCATTCACTTAATGCCTAAAAAATCAATCAATCTCAATCTTGAATATTCTCGATGAGTGAGCTCTGGGGAAGAGAATTCCAAAGATTGAGAAATGCTCTGAGATTAGCTGGAAGGCAGATTCCATTTGGGAATACTCTGATACATCCACACTGTTTCAAACACTGTCCCCTACATTTCCAGCTCTAACTACTTAAGTCTCATTAACTTGTCTCATCAAACAAGAAATTATTCATGGTTTGTTGTTGATTCTAAAAGCTTATTCTTTTTATTGACTGTGCATTATCTGTGTTTAGACTGTAGAACAATGAACAGTGACCAATTATCTTTCTGTATCAGTTCACTATTAGAAACTTATTTACAACTCTAATGCACTACTGTACACAAGAGGATGTTGCATTGGTACCAAAATGCAACAAAGGCATCCAATACAAAAATAATAGAAAATATTCACCAGGTCACAAAGCATCCATGGAGAGAGTAACGTGCATTTATAAGTGCCATTAGGTAATGAAGCATTACAGAAGAGATTATTAAACAAGATTTGAAACTGAACAACACAGAAAGAGAGCTATTAGAAGACTAAAGGCTTGGCCAGACAGGTAGGTGTTGAGGAGCACCTTAAAAAGAGGACAGAGAGAGATGAGGGAGAGATAGAAAGATGGAGAGAATTAGGGAGGGAATTCCAGACCTTGCAGCTTTGACATCTGAAAGTAAGGCTATCACTGAGAGAGGCAGAGTTAGAAGGGCAGAATTCTCAGAAAGTACCAGGGAGGTACAAAGAGGAGAAAGTCAATGTTTAATTTTGATTGAAACTTGAAATTTTAACTTGGTTTTTCTCTGTCCTTAGATGCTGCCCAATTTTGTTGCAAGATCTGCAGCATTTTTCTTTTGACAACAGCAAATCATTTCAACTAGTTTCAGTGATCTTTTTCCTGACTTTGCTGGTTCCGACAGGATAAAGGCGCATACGCAAATGGAACAATGGTAGAATAGACAGAAAAACATACTTACCTTTCAAACTGTATCTTTTTGTACCCTCCTTCTTTAACATAATCCAGGAGCTGCTTCTGAGTTCTCCCACTAGAATAAAGAAAAAAGGGTTACTCATAAGACTGTGTTCTTCCTGTGACCTGAGACCTTAAGTGAGCCCTGCGCAGAGGAGGGTGGGGCCCACCGTGGATCTCGAGCGGCTGGGATCTAGCGCGAGTGCAGATGGCGGCAATGACGAGCGGCGATCACGGGTGAAGGATGGCGAGGGTCTGCAAGGGATGGCGGCAGCGGTGACGTGGTGGTCAGGACCGAAGCCTCGCAAGCAGCAGTAAAGTCTGGCGAGTACAGGTGGGTGATAGCCCAGTGCGGGTGAAAGCGAGCCTTCTTGGAGAAACCCAGCTTGGAGCGTCTGTAGGCCCATGGTTCAAGAACGGGCTGTAATGTTTGACATTTTGACTTTATTTCTCTATTTTTCTACTTCTATGCTAAGAAGACTGTAGTGCTGAACTTTTTAAAACTTATTTCTTTATTTCTCTACTTCTGTAACTGAGATTTTGTACCTAGCTACTTTGTACCTAAGATGGAGCAGTGTGTGGCAACACTGTACACTTTTCATTGTACTCTTGTACCTCGCACTTGAGTACACATGACAATAAAACCTAAATTTAAATCTAGAAGTGCATGTGGGTTTTTGCTGCAATTAGTATGGGTTTCAGATCCCCAGATGGAGAATTAGCCCCTTATGTTTCTGCTGGATTTCCCTTCGTAATTCTGTAAATATTCTCTCTTCGGGTAATTTTGCAATTCTTTGTAAGCCATGACTGGGTCTGAATCCACTAACTTCATTAACAAAAAATGCATATCTTCACACCACATTACTTTCCATCGCCTCGAATCAATCAGTTTCCTGTCATTCTCAGCCCTTCCACCAACAGGAACAGTTTCTCCCCATCTGCTCTGTCCAGACTGTTTGTAAACCTGGATCATCTCTCTTTTCTCCACTGCGGAAAGTCCAATCAATCGTAACTGAAGCTCCTCATTGCTAGGAATATTTATCCAATCCCCGCTGTAAGTTGTTATTGGGACTACTTCTACTGCCCTTTCTGACAACACATTCCAGATCATAACTCAAAAATTCTCCTCTCTCCCTCTCTTGTTTCTTTTCCCAATCATCTTTTGCCTGCATCTTCTTGTTACTGACTCACCTCCCATTCCTGCCGCTGCAGATTGTTTCTCTTTATTTACTCTGTTACGATTCTTCATGATTTTGAAGATCTTTCTGAGATGTCCACTTCACCTTCTCTGCTTTAAAGGAAAATAATCCCATCTTCTCCATTTTCTGGGCAAGGAGGTGAAGGTTGAGTAAAGGGATAAAAATTCCTTGTCTACTGCTCTTGGGCCTAGTCTCAGAGAGGTCTTTGAATCAGCTAGTGTAAGAAACCTGAACTCTTTGAGGAAAGGGAAAATATTTGCATTTATAAGAAGTGTTGTTTGTGACCACCACGCACTTCAAAACCATTCAAGTACTTTTGAAGAGTAGACACTGTTGTGATGTAGGAAATGCAGCAGCCAATTTGCACACAGAAAGCTCCCACAAACAACAATGATAATGGCCAGGTAATCTGCTTTAACGATGTTGATTGAGGAATAAATGTTATCCCAGGACATTTGGGATAACTTCGTGCCCTTTGTTGAGACAGTAAGTGTGGGATCTTTTACATTTATCGGAGAGAGCTGATGGACCCTTGCTTTTAACACCTCATCCAAAAGATCTGACAATGCAGCACACCTTAAGTACAGCACTCAAGTGTCAGCCCCAGTTTTTGTGTTGAAGTCCTGGAATGGGACTTGAACCAGGAGAGCCTGAGGTGGGAGCGTTACCAACTGAAACACAATGGGAATGGCATGTGACACAGTCCGTTAAAAGGAGAAAAAATTTGGAAAATAACAAGATCCCTCGCCAGAACAGAATCAGTTGAACAGAACAAAGGCACGATATAAATTAAAATAACATTGAAGATCTGGAGGAATGTAGAATATGATTACCTAAATCTGAAAGAGGACCCTCGACTGAATAGAATGGGCTTGGGTTTTGGTTTGGGTTCTTCCAACAGTCGAAAGAAGGCATGATACTCAACACAAATCTTCCAGAAAGCCTTGCAGGAATCACGACTGGCCATAGAAAATTCCAAGGTGTCCTGGCAGGACTGCAACAGCAAGACAGAAAGGCAAACATCATCTCGCACTCACTCAAATGCAACTCACAATAACAGGTAACAAAGCAGAAAGGAGCTACAAGGCCTCTGGGTAAGAACACACTCACGTTCATTTCTGGGCGAAATTTAATCAGAAAGCGTTTCCTCTTAAAACTCAGCTTGCGAACCTTGGCCCAATTGAATGAATTGATTTTATTGTTACCCTGCATCAGAAATATGAAAGGGTCAGTTTAATTCTGACTAAGACAAGAAAAATGGCCCAAGCTACATTTTGTTAGATTTGTATTTAACAACTATTACCTGGAAAACTATGATCCCGGCATGAGACACAGACAGGTTGATCTTTGTGCCCTCTCTGTCCTTTGCACAATGTTGCCGAATCCCATACATTTCTAATCTTCTAGCGATCTCAAGGAGCTGATAGTCAGAAGCAGCAGGTGTGTGCCCACTTTGGGGTAGGGAGGAGGTGTAAAGAGAACATCATACAATTTCAGAGCGTGTTAAACCGCCAACTTCAATTGTGCATTCATTCCAACGCACCACCTGCCAACTCTCTCACAACCCAGGCTCCAAACCTCCAGTATTTTATTCTGTCAGTACTCACTTCAGCAGAATTGCTCCTTCGATTCTTTTGCAAGGCTGGGCAAAGACTATCCACCAGGGAGGGCACAACCCAGCAAAGACAGCGATTCCTATTTTCCTGTCTCAGAATTTGGGTGTCCAAGTGACAACTTGCATTTATATAGCACTCTCAACATAGTAACGTATCCAAGGTCAAAGGGTCCCTCATCAAGCTTAATAAGGTCATGGATACTTCGGCAGTTTAACTTATCATCCCTTTGTTCTCACAGGTACCCAGTCAAGCGAGGCCTCCATTTTAAAATTCTCATTCTTATTTTTAATTTTAAATTGGCTTTCATGGGCTGCCCTCTCTCTCTCTAACTTCTTCCAGTCCAATAACCCTCAGAGATCTGTGCTCTTCCAGTCATTAATTGCAGTGGTTTTGCAACTGAAAAATTAGAATGTCTACAAATTTTCTTCTGTAGAAGATCTGTGTTGTCTACAGTATGGAGTTGAGTTTCACAGACTGAGTGTCCTGCATGCCTTTCACATTTCGGAGCTTCTGCCAAGGTAACAGCTTTATCTGGGTGCAACCAGATTGTCCAATTTTGAGGATGAGTGAGTTGTAGCTGTAACAACAACTGACATTTATATAGAACCTTTAATATAGTAAAATAGCCCAGGACAAACAAAATTCCACACTGAGCCACACAGAGGTCAGGCGATGTGACCTCAGTCATGGTTGAAGTAGCAGATTTTAAAGAGCGCCTTAAAGCAGGAGAGGGATGCAGAGAGATTTAGGGAGGGAACTCCACTGCTTAGGGCCCAGGCTGCTGTAGCTATTGCTGCTATTAGAGGAGCAATGAAAATCATAGCAAAAGGCTGGAAGTGGACGAGGGCAAAAACTCAGAATGCTACCTAAAAGGGCAAAGTCCAATGTGAACGCTCCATTCTGAATAGTCCACTTACACTCTTTTTCAACGGGACAGGAATGTCTGGGTCAGCATTCAATGACCATCCCTAACTGCCCTGGAGAAGGGTATTGATCTGCCTTCTTAAATCACCGCAATCCACCGGGAGCAGAGAAACCCACGATACTGTTAAGGAAAGGAATTCCCATATTTTGACCCAGCAAAAGCGAAGGAATAGCAATATCATTACAAGTTGGGATAGTGTATGGCTTGGAGGGTAACTCACAGCGAGTGGCGCTTGCACGCATTTACTCGGCTTCTCCTTCGAGGTGGTGAAGGTCACAGGTTTGGAAAGTGCTGTCGAAGGATGCATCTTGTAGGTGGTACACTCTGCTGTCATTAAATATCAGTGATGGAGGGATTGAAGTTTGTACGTGGTGTCAATCAAGCAGGCTGCTCTGTCCTGAATGGTGTTAAACTTACTGAGTGATCTTGGAGCTACACTCAGGCAAGTGGACAGCATACCATTAAACTGACAGGTGGTGAGCTATTCACTGCAGAATTCCTGACCTCTGACCTGCTCTTGTAGCCACAATATTTATATGGCTGGTCCGGTTCAGCTTCTAGTCAATGTAAATCTCCCAGAATGCTGGTAATGGGGAATTCAGTAATGGTAATGCCATTGAATGTCAAGGCGCAATGATTAGATTCTATCTTGTTGGAAATGGTCATTGCCTTGCATTTATGTGGTGCTTATGTGGCTCATCACTATCACTTTAAGCCAGGTCTCGCTGCGTATGAACATGGACAGCTTCAGTGTCTGAACAGCCATAAATGGCGCTGAACATTGTGCAGTCACCAGCAAACATCCCGACTTCTGACCTTATGGAAGAAAGGTCATTTTTGAAGTAACTGAAAACAACGGGGTGGAGGACACTACCGTGCGGAACAGTGGGGTTCTTGTGTCAGAGCGGCTATGTCCCTATCTCTGCACCAAGAGGTCTGTGCTCAAGTTCAGGGGGCTCCAGAGGAGTGTAATAACATCTCTGACCAGGTTGATCAGAAATATCTACCATGAGGAACTCCTGAAGAGATGTCCTGCAACTGAAATGATGACCTCAATAACCACAGCCTTTGTACTTGTAAGACTCCAAGCAGCATGATAGCTCAATTCTCTCTAAGAGCACATCACGACAGCTCAGTCACCTTCTAACTATTCTTGATCCTGCTGTTTATAACAGTTTGGGCTGTTTCATGAAATGTAATTTCCATTCAAACATTTGAATTTTTAAAAATATTTTACAGCAGGCACCAGCAAATCAAATTGATTTTTCGAGTTTTTCCATTTATCAGTTCATTGCTTTGTGAAACAGTGTGACTGCTGAAATTCTGCTAGGATATTTGAAAGGAGCACATTAATTTTACTGCTAACATTTAAACAGTACCTTTGCTCCAAATAAATTCCAGTGCTGTCACATCACATCTCTCACCATTTGGTGTGATGCGTATGTCAAATCAAACTCCTGGGATCCCACAGTTCCATGTGCTTCCAGTGCTAGTCTTATGCAAATCCCACACAAAATATGCTTTCTTTTCTATTCAGATAATGAAATCCGTGCTGCAAATTTAACCTCCACGATGAAGCTGGTAGTGGAAAGGGCTAGTGACATGACAAAAAAAGAAGCCTCACCTTTTGTCAATATCAAAACGGGAGGCCATTCAGGCCATCAAGCCAGTTCCAGCGTTCAAAGTATGGCTGGTCTGTATCTTTATTCAATCTACCTGCTATAGTTCTAATACATTTAACACTCCTTCATAACAAAGATTCACTCTCCTGTTTCCTCCCTAGCTCTGAAACCTTCCACAACTCAAGAACGCAGAGCACTGATGCTCATTTGCAAGGAGTCTTGTTTCACGGTGGCTCAGTGGTTAGCCCTGCTGTCTGAAAGTGCCAGGGACTCGGGACTAAGGATTACACCCTTAGGCAACTGTCTGTGTGGTTTGCAAGTTCTCCCAACGTCTGTGTGGGTTTCCTCTGGGTGCTCCGGTTTCCTCCCACAGCCCAAAGGTGCGCAGGCTAGATGCATTTGCCATGCTAAATTGCCCATTGTGCAGGCTAGGTGGATTAACCATGGAAAAAGCAGGGTTACATGGATAAGGCAGGGGGATGGGTCTCAATGGGATTCTCTCTGGAGGGTCAGTGTGGACTCGATGGGCCAAATGACCTGCTTCCCCACTGTAGGGATGCTATGATTCTTGCACTTACTCAATTGACAACATCAAGATGTAAGGAATTTTCTGACAATAAAATGTAGGTTCCATTAAGAATTTGATAAATTGGTAGCAGTCTCGCAGTTGGGGATCTTTTACATGTATCCGAGGTAGTAGCTTCCTCAGGACAAAGGCCTGGATCTTCCCCACGATGGGCAGGCTCGGCTTCGAGGTGAAAATGGCAGACCAACCAAAACATTGGAGGCCCTGCCCCTGAAATTGGCACTCCCTATTTTCACAGAAGCGTTTCACAATCCACGTGTACATTTTATGGTGACTGCTGGTCATTTCATTCATCAGCTGCCTCCACTTCTGTGTGGCTTTGGTAGCCCAGGAATGTGACACCCAAAGTGTGCACAGTAGATCTGGGGAACAACAGGTTCTGTACTTCACGCACATTTTTGGATAGCCATGTATGGTCCAGAGACATCTTTAGGGAGATTAGGTGACTGGGGGAGGTAAGATGCCTTTTGGAATGGGTAAAAGTAGGCAAGAATATCTGTAAACAATGTGTAAACTAATTTTAATCGTCAACAGACCTGTCAAAATTAATTGTAAAGAGGACCTATAGAAAGGAACTAACAAGGCAATGAACAGTCTCTTTTTTAAATTTGTTCATGAGATATGACTTTTGCTGGCTGGGTCAGCATTCACTGCCCATCCCCAACTGAAGTCAAAGAGAAGAAACTCAAGAGTCAACAACATTACTGGAAGTCTGGAGTCATGGGAAAGCCAGACCAGACAAGGACAGCAGACATCCTTCCCTGAAAGACATTAGGGAACCAAATGGGTTTTTACAACAATGATCGCCATTAGATTAACTTTTTATTCTAGGTTTTTTAAGTTGTATTCAAATTTCACACTCAGCTTACGCTGGGATTTGAACCTACGTCCTCAGAACATTGGCTTGGTGCTCAGGATTACTAATCTAGTGACATCACCACCATTATGTCCTTATCCTGTCCTTTTAAATCATTGAAATAAGAGCCTGGAGGGTTTAAAAAAAAAATCATTGTTTGATCTTTCACGCTGAGTGTTGAAAGATTGTTACGCACTCTTTGAAAAAGGCCTAAAAATGAATTCCAATGTTTGTTGTTATAAGGGATTATGTTTTTGAATGAAAAGTTTATTGTTATAAGGATGATGTAGTTGAATGAATGTAAACGTAGTACATTTCTAGAACATAGAACAGTACAGCCCAGTACAGGCCCTTCGGCCCACGATGTTGTGCCGACCTATTATCCTACTCTAAGATTAAACTACCCTGCATACCATACATTTTACTATGAGCCATGTGTCTATCTAAAAGTTGCTTAAATGTCCCTAATGTATCTTTCATGAATAAATATGTTTTTTCAACACAGTAATTTATTTTGGAACTTTATTTTACAGAACTTTATTCAATATCAGTTCTGCATGGATCCTGAGGTCTATCCATTATGGATACTGGGTGCATGGCATGTGTAAGGGAAAATATGGTGGTAGGTGGGACATGAGTTAACATGACCTGGCCCAGGACAGCATTGGGCTATAAAGGGATTTGGGGTAGTGCATAGAGGGCTATAAATTGGAATGTGGTTACACAATGTCCATAAGGGTGGTTAGAGGGACATAGAGGCCATAAAAAGTCATGTTGAGGGTAGAAGGGCATAGGTTGGCATAAGGGATATAAAAGGCCATGGTGGAGTAGGTACAGGGGTACCTTTTGAATATGGGTTATGAGAGTCATTTGGATTAGGTTAAGGAGCATAGTTTGACATGGAAGGTACAAAGGACCACGGTTTGCAGGTGTAGAGACATATGGTAGCCTGTGGTATAAGTGGTTATGGGCTGGGTAGAGGGCATGAGTTGGCATGGACGAGGCATGGGGAGTGAATGGGAGCAGTAGGGAGTTGAGAGGGCTAGAGGTATGTTTTCCTGAAGCATCAACATAGTGCAAGTGCACAGAGACTAGCCTCCCACCCAGCCTGCCTCCACAGCCTCTAACCCCCTTCTCACATCCAAGGGTCACCTGCCCTTAGTTCTAACATAGCCTGCCACCCCAGGCTGAAAGTCCTGACCCCTGGGCAGCCATTTTTAAAAGTCAGGAGTCACAGAGGTAGAAATTCTCGAGTCTGTGCACAGAATTTGCAGATAAATATTTGGGCCTATATCTGCATTGCATGATACACTGCATCCTTTTGTAAACAGAAAACATAACCACGTCCACTTAAAGATGAGCGACAACGGAGACACTCAATGGTCGGACAGATATAGGAGATAGAACACACCTGTGTTTGTAGACTCAAAAATCTTCATTGCATTCTCTTAAATTGTCAAAGCTTGGGTTGCAGATCTTTTTAGATTATGAAACGCTTAGAATCTACACACTCCATCAATTCATTAACGACAAGCTGGGTCACAAACATCATACAGCACAGTGAATTGTCACTGTCATCATCAATTCCCCCTTTTATTGACATAACGTCCCCTTCACCACTCAATTTGGCAGTTAGAAACAGAATCAGACATTGTCTATATGACCTAAATTTAAGATCGCCATTCTGACCACAATACTGTACAGAGCAGGACTTAAATACCTACACATGCCTGCGATGAAATTCCGCTATCTTATCCACCAGGGCATCTTGCTGAGGTATGTACTTGTTTTTCTCTAAGTGCTCACGGATAAGCGTTTCATCAAAATCCCCAATTTCCGCTGCAATAAAAAAGTATTGAAGTGTTAGTGCCATCAGTACAAACACACTGTTTTCTTTTACTCCCTATTGTTTTTTTTGTTAAAATGTCTCATGCCTCACTCTGGTCAGTAAATTAGGACACAGCTCAGGGAATCCCAACCCACTTGAACTTGTGAAATCACCTTCACCAGCATGTGACGATCCACGTTGGGGAGCTGTACACAGAAGTAAGTTACCAGCCTGCAGCAGCTATCATATCCACTCGCTAATAAAATCTCACAGCGACTATTCAGCCCATCGTACCTGTGGAAGCTCCTTCAAAAGAGATATTCAATTCGAAGGATATGAGAAAAGACAGAGGTTGCCAGTGCCATAGATGCACTGGCTAAAAGTGCGGCTGGTTCTGGAGAACAGATCTTGTGCTACTTCAGGAATGCTGCGAAGGTCCAAAGCCTTACAGTGCCTTATGCCTTCAGCCATTTTTCCATTGCTCACATGGAGCGAACTGAATGTGTGAAGTCTAGCATCTGTGCTGCTGCACACACCTCATGAGGAGGCTGAGAAGGATCGTCCACTCAGCATTCTTGGCCGGCGACTGTTGCAAATACTTAGCCTCATCCTTTGCACTGACATGGCGGGCTCCCCACCCCATCGTTGGTGAAGCTTCCTCGCTCTCATGCCAAAACAGGATAATCGGTGTCAAATTCACTCACACTGGATAATATGAGACACCAGAAGAGCTGCACTAGTGTCATTACATGTCATCCTTCCTGAGGCCAGGTCCTGTTTGATTTGCAAGGCAAAGAGGTACCTGCAAAATATTAAAACAAAAACAAATCAGTCATCTTGCTGCAATGAATAACTCTTGCACACTATCCACTTCTGATGCGTAACATCCTACAATTCAGGAGTTAGCCATTTGGTCCATCTTGTGTGTACTGGCTATTCAATTCGTCCCATTTACTTGCGCTTCAGTGCAGACTTGAAAATGTTCCTTTCATAAATATTCATTTCATCCTCCTTTTCAAAGTTACTCTTGGAATCTGCTTCCACTACTTCTTTACATTCCAGGTCAGAATTCATTGCATTAAAAAAAATTCTTCCCTGGATCTTTTGGTAATCGCTTCAAACCTCTGTCCACTGTTCACTGAAGATCAGGACCGTAAGACACTGCAGAGAATTGTGAACACACGCAAGCCAACCTCCCATTACTGACCCCACCTATACTCCTCCCTGCCTAGCGAAAGGCAGCCAACATAATCAAGGACCCCCTCTCACCCCAGTTATAAACACTTCCAACCTCTTCTGTTGGTCAGAAGATACAAAAGCTTAAACATGTACCAATAGATTCAACAACAGCTTCTTCCCCACTATTATTGGACTTCTGAATGTACCTCTCAAATTTTAATGTTGACCTCACTCTTTGTGCATCTTCTCTGCAGCTGTAACATTGTGTTCTTTGCTCTGTTCTACTACCCTAATGCACTTTGTATGGTATGAACTGCCTGTAGTGCACACAAAACAAAACTTTTCACTGTACCTAGATACATGTGACAATAATAAATCAAACCAAAAAAATGTCCAGTCTGGGGAAGCATGTTTGCTGGGGGTGGGAATGATCTTGGGAACTGGGATGCCTCCAGTGGGCTTCCTCTTACTGTGGGGGCAAAGTAATGGTGAGGGTGGGATAGGAATATAAGGATCTGAACAGACCTAAGGGCAGGCAAGCTGCTCCCTGGCCTCCATTGTAAAATGAGAGACAGGTCGGAAATGGGCAGGTAAGCAGCTGGAAGGTCGCAAACTGCATTTTATGATCACCTCCCTGCTTCAAACTGGCCAAGAGGGGACTGCAAAATCCAATTCCAAATGCTGTTTGATTGTCAGTCACGAATTATCCAGTTGGCAATTATGAAACTCTTTGCTTTCTGATAGATTTGAGCAAGGGCCACAAATTGAGGATGAACATGTTGGGGAGGAGTGTGGCGGCTGGGACAAATGGACGGAGGCAGTCACGTGATAAATACATCCAATTGAAGCTGGAAACTGATATTGGACTTGGAAGTCAAGGTCAATAGCTGAAAAGAACCAAGAGTGTGTTCATCTGCCAAATAACTAATTCTATAAACTGTAGAGCAGTTTTTATTAGCTCTTCAGTGATGTCTTCCTGCCATATCCATGTAATAATATTTCACAGCAGATGATTCTTTAAGCTGCTTTGAAATGTCAATATGTTATTAAGAGATATTTTAAGGATAATCTTACAAGGCTGATTCTGTTGAAATGGAAGCAAAGTGTTTTTTTCTCCCTTTCAGAGAAAGTCCAATCTCAAAGTGGATTTAAAGCTGGACAAAAGTAAATGATAAAAGAAGCAGGAAAATATAGCAGGAGGTTTCTTTGTAGTGTGGACAGAGAAGCTGAAAAGGACAGAACTGAGCCAACCTTTACACACTTTTACAAAGATTTATTTACAGAAATACACTTTAGAAACATGCTGTTCTTCATTCAACCACCTATATTTCAGACTGTTCTTATTTACAGGGGCACAAGTGAAACTCCACTCTGTGCTCAACAAACGTACATTATCAAACACAATATCCAACTGATAGTATCATTATTAGTGTCAAAGCGAATGTCTGGTTCAAGCTCCAAATCTGACAAAACTTGCAAAAACACAACTCGCTCATACAAGCAAAGCTCAGAATTATCTTCTTCAGCCCTAAGTCTCATCAGCAGCTGGTTCTAGGAAATCTAAGCCTGGCAACACAAATCCAGTGAGGAACAGCACAGGCCCTGTCAGGGGAACCAAGGTGAGAAAAACATGTCCAGTAGCTTTTTGATTCTTGGAATAACAGCTGCATATAGTGCTGCCGTTATTCCCAGTCATAATGGTGATGGACTGGGCAATTCACAGTCTGCAGCTTACATTGCTGCAAATGACTGGGATTGATTTAATTCACATTATACGTAGTATGCAACTATCCACTGCTTGCATTTTTCTGGAGAAACAGTCCTGCTTTTACTGGGAAACTTTGCTGTCGTTTGACTCTTGCACGGAGAGCTGCATTTTTGGGATGCATGCAGTGCTGGCGAGGCTAGTACTTATCGCCCTTGAGAAGGTAGTGATGAGCTATCTTCTTGAAGCGCCGCAGTCAACATGCTGTAGGTATACCCAGAGTGGGTTGACACTTTGCTGAGCCATTTCAGTTAATTATCAGCCATATTGCTGAGGGCCAGCTACACCTGCCTTCTGAAGGGATGTGCGAACAAAGCAACAATGTTGTGAGACAATTATTTTTCACACAGCGAGTCATCGTGGTATGGAATGCACTGATGGCAGATTCAATTGAGACAGCGAAGACATCATTGGAGTTAACGTTTCAGTTCCGGTGACCCTTCCTCAGAACATGAAGGGTCACCAGACCCGAAACGTTAACTCTGTTTTTTCCTTCACAGATGCTGCCAGACCTGCTGAGCTTTTCCAGCAACTTTGTTTTTGTTCCTGATTTACAGCATCTGTAGTTCTTTCGGTTTTTATTTGGACATCACTGGATTTTTTTTTCAGATAGTAATGGCATGGAGGGATATAGGGAAAACGCAGGAGGTTGGCACTGAGTAATTGAGCTGGTGCAGAAACAATGGGCCAAAATGGTCTCTTTCTGCCCCATAATAATACTGTGCAAAGGACATCTCATTGTGAACCAGATAGGCTTTTAACAAAACTATTAATGAGACTAGCATTTTATTCCAGATTGATTAATTAATTTACTGAATGTAGTTTCCCCCTAGCTGCCACAATGGGATCTGGACTTACAACTCCAGAGCTAACACAGTATTGTAAATGTAATATCGCCAAGGGCTTCAGATGACAAAGCTGGGTGGGGAGGCGAGCTGTGAGGAGGAGGCAGAGATGCTTCAATGCACTTTAAACAAGTCGAGTGAATGGGCAAATGTGTGGCAGATACTGTATAAAGTGGATAAATGTGAGGTTATCCACTTTGGAAGCAAAAGCAGGAAGGCAGATTCTAAGCGAGGATCACTCGACCTGAAACGTTAACTGTGATTTCTCTCCATAGATGCTGCCAGACCTGCACAGCAGCAGTTTCTACTTTTGAGGCACATTATTATCTGAATGGTGATAAATCGGGAAAGGGGGAAGTGCAACTAGACCTGCTGAAGGTAAGCATGTAGGTGGTGGAGAAGGCAAATGGTACGTTGGCCTTCATGGCGAGAGGATTGGAGGACAGGAGCAGGGATGTGCGGCTGCAATTGTACAGGGCATTGGTGAGACCACACCTGGAGTATTGTGTGCAGCTTCATCTCCTTATCTGAGGAGGGATGTTGGGGCTATGAAACGATGGCTTACCAGACTGATGGCAGGCCTGACTTAAGAAGAGAGAGACTGGATCAGTTCTGGCTATATTCACCGGAGTTTAGAGGAATGAGGGGGTTCTCACAGAGACCTATAAAATTCTAACAGGGCTAGACACGGTAAACACAGGAAGGACGTTCCCAATGACCAGAGAGTCAAGAGCCAGAGGCCACAGTCCAAGGAATGTGGTAATTTGTTTAGGACTGAGATGAAGAGAAATTTCTCCACCAGAGAGTGGTGAGACTGTGGAACCTACTACCACAGAAGGTGGTTGAGGCCAAACATTGAATGTTTTCAAGAAGGAATTAGATAGTTTCGAGGGCTAAAGGCATCAAAGTGTATGGAGAGAAAGCTGGAACAGGGTACTGAGTCGGACAATTAGCCACGATCAAATTGAATGGCAGTGTAGCCCAGAAGGACCAAATAGCGTACTGCTGCTCCTTTTTTTTTATCTTTCTATGTCCAGGATGACTAGTCCAGTGACAACATCCTCACGCTATAATATTGAAAAGGGCTGTGCTTATGAACACCACCACAAGGTGGAGCAATGAGCATGCACTTGCAGGAACACTGTGTCACAGGCAGCTGGCGTCACTGAGCCCCCTCTGTGGATGTGCTGGAGGGCCATTTTTGCCATCCGGATGAGGAAGTGGATCGCTCTTTCTTTGGCAGCGGCAGTGAGGGGCAAGGAGCAGAATGGGAGGGGGTGGGGTAGGAGGCTCAGCTGCAACTTCGCATTCCCGGGCACAGCCATCTATTGGGCAGAGCAGTGGCTGGAAGTGGGCCGGGGGTGAGGAGGTAACAGTTGGGCGAGCACAGCAAAGGTGCAGGGGTCAAGGGCACCTACTTTGCCCACACTGCTGAAACTCTGACTCACTAGTCCCAGCCTCCTGGGTCCCCAGTATCCCCAGTTTGGTATCACAGATGACAATGTGTGCTGCATTAGTGCACGCACAGTGCTATTTCGACACTATGCATAATCATTTCATATTTAAAATCAATCCCATCCCACGCGTGCTCAGTCCATAGATTTGGTTTGCATTAAGATAGACTCTGCTGCAAGTTCCACTGCAACTATTGTTGCGCCTCTAAATCCCCTGGGACAACACTGTCCAACACAACAGCATTATTAGGGACTTCACATTTGTCTTTAACAGAGCATTTCATTGTACACTCAATGTTTACAGAAAATCAAATCTGCAAACATTTATGCTGCATCTACAGGGCAATCATACGTTTCCAAACCTGACAGGACGGAAACACATTTCAAGCATTTCTTAAAAAAACTAAAATCATAGTGTAAACTTTGTTTCAAATGGAACATTCAGAGTACCTGAAGGTAGCAGGCTTGTTACCTTAGAAAATTATCGACTAGGAAAGCAAAAATATCACTCGTGGATTCAAGATAAAAGAGACTAAATGTCTCATGTGCACATTCCTGATTTATCTGTGCTGTGGGTGAAGCCAGGGGACAGGAAAATAACTTCCATTCCTGTGGTGATAGCGGGTGCTTGTTTCCCAAAGAGATCAGACAGACAGACGCGGATGGGTTGACAGCAGCGCAGGGCACTATCCTGGTCTGGGCACATCGATTGGGTCCATATGGTACCACCTGGTAACCCCTTGCCTACAACAGAGTCCCTCTGAGAACAGGGACTCTCGGTAAAGCCTATTGAACGTAGGAATACAAGTAAGCAGTTCAATAACTTGCATT